GAAGCTCTGTGGTGCCTTGGATATACAGAAGGGAAGCCAATCATATTTGCATTCTGCCTTTGATTGTATAGTATGATCTTTAAGTTATATTTTAACCACAGCTTGATAATGAGGCTGTTACGGTAGAAGTTGTGGAAACCATTCAGAAATTGCATACATGGGATCACAGTGGGGCTTAAGTTTTTTTTCTCTGTTTTGTTTTATATGAGTATTATCACTATTACTACTATCACATTTGTGGCTAGTGTGAGAGAGGAAACGTGTTTGAGCTCCTCGACCAGCAGGTCCACATGTGTGTCAAGGATGAGGCAGACAGAGGAAGCCGTGAGAACATTATGCTCAAAGTTGGTGGGTCCCAATTCCAGGGAAGAGACGAGATTGTAATAATTATTAGTAGTATTAGTAATTATTATTATTATTAATATTATTATTGGACATATTTTGGAACCGAGTCGTAGAAATCAATAAGCTCCTTTTTTCAGGCTGCTTGTGTGTGTCAGTTTGTAGGTGCAGTGTGCAAGCGTGCGTGTTTGTACGTGAGTATGCCAGTTTGCATGCATGCCTGTGTGTGTGTGTTTGTGTGTGTGTGTGTGTGTGTGTGTGTGTCTACATCCTGGTGTGTGTGGTGTGAATGCTACATGTGATCCTGTATCTATATTAGCAGTGTGCAACCTACGGCGTGAGGCACTTAAGCAAAGTCAAGTCGTCGGCTTACAGTTCTATCTTAAAAGACTATGGAGCAAGCGGAGGCTACACGTACTTTGTCCATCAGTATAACAGGGCATCTATGCTATATCACTGCCTTCATGCATTAACAGTGTATCATGGTTCATTGTTGGCCAACAATAAACTCATGTGCATGGACTATAAGTGAGAGAGAAAAAGATTTAGTGAAGGAGGATATGGGCGAAGGGACTTTCACTTAGAGCCCCTTATCTTTCTAATTTTTCCTGAGGTGTCTCACCTCAGACTCAGAGGTCACACGAGGTGTTTGTTTATTACTGCCATTCTGTCAATGAATTATTACAGAGACTTCATTCTTTTCACTTTGTTACAATATGGTGTTTCCTTAGTTGTGAAAGGCTGCTTTGAGTCTTGAGTAATGACCTCTTTAATGTGCAGCATGTATGGCACATGTGAAAAAGGGGAGAGGACAATGTCTTGAAGAAAGTAATGCTTTTTAAAGTCTGGGGGACGTTAGACTCCTCCATACTAATTAGCAGGGAGGAAACAGGGTGTGGCGTGGAAAGAATTAGAAGGACAGGGACAGTTTGCAACTAAGAAGTCACTGTGGAACTGTGGAGGGCACAGGAGTGCACGGCACAGGATGGTAGAGCAGGGAGGATTTTAAAGGTGCAGGAGCATGCTGCTGTGTAGGAGATATGGATGATGTACAGCCAGTGGCTGGAAGATGATAATGAACAAAAGGCACCCAAAGGCCTCACAATAAAACTTTGAAATCTGCTTATTTGGGTGGAACAAACATTAATATCTCATATTTGATGTCAACAGTGACACAGCTATCTCAACAGATATGCTCTAGGTTTCCATTTACACAGAAATTAAATGAGGAACTAAGACTGTATGTGCTCATGTGAGGATGAACTTTCTTGGGGGGGGGGGGGGGTAGAGGAGTACAGGATGATAATATACTGTCAATGCATCTAGAGTCCCACATAGGGTTGATTTCAATGGCAAAGCACTTTGAGAACATGCTCCCCAGGAGATACGTAAAATGAAATGTGTTGGGTGGTGATTGGAGGTGAATGGATGTTTTCTTTTTTTTTTTCCTTGTTAGCCTTTTCTTTGGTTTACTTTGTAGGGCTGGTTTCCCAATCGTCAGACATACCCTTTGTCAAGCAAGAGTCAAATTAAAATGGCTTTCCACACGTTACGACGAGAGGACATTCCGATCAAAAAAAAAAAAAAAAAAAAAAAAAAAAAACATTCCTACCCAAGTCAAGTGAAAGTTGATGGGGAGTCTGACCATTGCAGAGAATTTGAACAAATACAAAATGCCAGCATGAATTGGAAAATGCCTTCACACAGAGTTCACTGATCCATGGGTTCTGTTTGATTTTCTTTTACTTTGTCAAGAAATGAAATATTTGTTTTTACTTGAATTTTTCTTTTTATTTATCTGCATCACAGCCACAGATAGTCACACAGGGCAGCGATGAGCTACAGGAAAGGGTGGTTGTAACATCCAATATTTGCACATGTTCTTCAGAGGGCAACAAGGTTTGCATTTTTAAGACAGAGCACAGCCTTTGCTCTAAACCACCTTAACTGATGTGTGTTGCAGTGGTTGGTCAGTTTTTTTTTATGGTGCTGGCTTTTGTTGTTCAGGCTGATTGTCTGTTAGTGAACACATCAGTCCCCTTGTGAGCTTTGCTGCTTCAAATCATTGGCAAGGGGAAGTTCATCAGCCAGACAGACATCAGCACAAGACAAGAGACAGATTTTTTTTTTTCTTTTTTGTTTTGTTTTAATGGGACACATGGCAAGGTGTCTTTGACTTAATGCTTGAGTTTTTTTTTTTTTTTCATGACAGTATGTGACTTTGCTGAGTGTATGTTTGTCAGACTGAAGAAAAATGTGGGGATCTAATGTTTTAGTGATGTTTTTCAGTAAAACTGGGCAATTGAATGATATATTTGCCAAAACATCCCTGTATGAATATTTGATATGACCCCTTCATTTTGCCTCTGTTTGCCTGATGTAAGCTCTCTCCCAAACTTAATGGTTGTGATTTTCTTTCCTGCAATTTATTATTGCATGTTATATATTGAGACCACCTTTACAATTTGTGTTTGATATATGTTATGGGGTGACCAGACCCACAAAAGGGTTTTTCTAAGATTTAGAGATACTGTATTCCAAAGTGAAGAGAGGACAGAGGAGGAGGTGTGAAGACATCAAGAAAAAAGTGTCAATATTTTTATTGAGTTATTGTTGTCTTTTTGCGCTGCTAAAAGCTATGAATTTGTTTCATTTATACAAAAAAATAACATTACCTAGTTGTGATGTGTCACTTGAGTGTGCTGCTATTTTATAAACATTTGTATTATAATATAATTATTTTACTGCTTAAGAGATACATTCAGAAAAACGAAGTAGATGGTGATAGAAGAACATGAAATGAGTACTCGACTGGAAATGTTCTTTGTACAGTTTGACAGTTTGCTTAGATAGCATGTGTCCTTTCCCCCTTTTTTTATCTATTTTGCTCTCCTTCTTCAGTCACATTCTGCATCAGTGGTATTTCCTATACCTCAGGATTACTGGACAAAATAAATACACAAATCCATCACCTATACCTCTGCAGTTAGGGAGCCTGGAACGGCGGAGAAAGAATACAGTGGGGGTGGAAAAAAGGCAACAACATTTTTGTGGATGAATCCCACTGCTTTAGTGGGAAAGTAATTTGCTCAGTACAATGGGAAACAGGATATATGCAAGGCTTCCACTTGGACTTAACCTATATTGGAGGGGGGGCACGACAACACTGCAACATTTTCTTGGGGTTTTAATACCGTAGATAGTTCAAGCATGATTCATTTGTGTTCATGTTGGTGCTACATCTGATTTGTTGTGTGTGAGCGAGGGAAAAACAGTATTCCTATGATGGCCAAAGTACAGTTCTTGCTTTATACAACCACAATCACTCTGAATGTCAGTAAATATGGATTCCGTATGTGAGAAAGATATGTTTTGGTCTGAAATATTGTGTGTGCGCACCATTGTAACTGCCACAAAATAATGGGTTGAGCTACAGCTGTCAGGTCCAGCCATAAATATTCTGATATCTGGAAGTTTCAATGGTGCAGATTTCCCTTTGAGTTGCCTCCCCTCCACTATAACTCATATCATGTACCTCAAATGTCTGTTGCACAACCTCTGTTCAATAAACTTCTGCTTTAAAGGGTGTGACACCACATCAGCTCACTATTTCCCACGCCTGTGTTCCTTTTCAGCTGTGTGCTTTCAATTGTTTTGTGATCAATAGATTAGTATGTATGTGTGTGAGAGTGAAACTGGAGAGCAAAGTTCAGCCATACTTCTCAATCACCGGCAATGACGAAATGAGGACAATATGTGGTCCTCTGGCCAGAATATAAGGAAGACGAGTTATAAACACTACCCGCCAATGTGCACTAGAGAAAAAAAGTGATCTATTGATATTTTTAGTTTAGTCCAATAAATCTGCCACCAAAACGTAAGGAAATATAGTGGTCACAAAAAAGGATTTTCAACCACTGACCACTCTTCTTTTAAATCTGTGATGACCACTTTGTGATGGAGAACTTATGGACAACTAAATACATCTACTTACAGTATATTTAAGGCAAAAAAAAAACTGCAAACATTATAGTTATAGTGTTGGTAGCATAGTGATAAATACATTATGTTCTGCGTTATAGTGAGACACTAACCCTGTCTAGACCAGAGGAAAAGGTCTGGAGAAATGTTCCAAGTAAAGCAAAAATAATTGTGTGACATGGGAAAGTGTCAACCTCTGCCACCTAGTGGCTACACCCTAGAAGTGCAAAATCATAAATGGTGAAATTTTTTATCAGAAATTATTAAAACATAAAACTAATGCAGTCAAATGCAACAATCCTGCAATAAAATCTAATTTCAGGAAGGTTATAACGTTCTGCTTTTGTTCAAACCGTTTTATAGAGGTGTTGAGTCATCTTTACGATCATTTTGGTGGAGGTAGTTTGTTGGGCTGTTGAACTGTATTGTGGAGAACATTATAGAAGCACCTGCCTACCAATGATGTAACTAACATATGCTACGTTTAGCCTAAAATTACTCCAGTCTAAAGTAATTATTTAAGGAAATATTGGTTAAAAACTCTCTCCTGTGTTGAGAAAGAAAGAAAGTGGATGTAAATAAATTCAACATATTAACTGATCACAAGTGTGTTTAGTGTTGATAACTTTATTCAGCCAATCAGAGGAGGGGTTGAAGTCTGTGCTGAGGAGCGTTTAGTTTAGTTTAGTGCGTTTCTGTGGATTACTTGCGTTCAGCCTGATGTACGATCGAATAATTACATTTATAATGGGATATTATCGTAATAATTTATACAATTTATACTTAAACTTTCAGTCGGGCCGCTTGTGAAAGTGCCGTGTTCGTCCTTACCAACGCTGAGTGGTCCAGATGTCTGTACGTAAATGTGATTTCCTCGCGAGGCTCAGACGGACACAGTGCACCGGTTTGAGGGCAGTTTTCTTTTTAAACTACCGGACATTTGATGCGGTGTTACTCTGTCATTAACCTCAAGAGCATGAAAACATTAAGATTTGGCCTAACTCTTGTTCGACAGTAAGTGAATTTGACATTGACATAGGCTGTTTGAATGTGTATGATAAATACCTTGTTTACCACAGAAGCTCCGAGTGGTGCTGCTCGTCGGTCCCATTTACCATTTTTGGACCTAAGTTTGGAAAAAGCAATAAAATATTGATTTATTAATATAAGCGGATAGTTGGTATCTATATTAGTGTGTGCGCGTGTGTGGAAAGTTGAGAGCAAACTTTAAAATTATTTAGTGTAGCCCATTACTACTTAAAGACTAGTTACATGAGTGAAGTCTGTGGTCTGTATTTAGCTTTAGCTAGATAGGTGCTATGCTACCCCAGCAGGTGTCACTCATTACTGACGGGCACAAAGCGTCTTGACAGGGAGTAGCCTCCCTGCTTTTAACGCAGCCTTGATTTTGTTTTAACATTAGCACTTACAAAGTGGTTAGCGGACTGTCAAAGCTAACTCTAAACAAGGGCAGTTTCACACGCAGCTAGCGGGGATTCGTGACCCTCATTCAGCTCTCCCAGTCTACTTCACGGGCACTCCGTACTTTCAAGTCCGGTCTGTGGTCTGCGGACTCTGCAGTGCCTCACAATGACCGCCAGAGGGCTGAATGAATGAATCATCCAGTCCATGGAAAGGATGCCTCAATGAGTAATGTATTGTCAGTAGGTTATCTGGTCACACTAAATCTGTAAAGCAAAACTTGATCTTATGATTTAGAAATTTCGTATAATATGATAATTTCTTTGTTTTAATAATACATATGTAGTTATAAAATCATTTTACTTATTAATTGTTTGTAGGTCATTGTTGGCATCATTCAGAGTAAATAAAAACATTTCTTCACATCAGTGCAGGGATAAATTCTACAACTAAAACTACATATGACATTGCAGGCAATAGATAACACTGGAGATCAAATGATTAAGTCATTGGACAGAAAATGAATCATCTTAATTAAACATCTGCAATAATTTTGATATTAGTTATCAAGCAAAAGTGCAAGCATACTTAAGGACTTCCTGCTTTTCTCTGTAAATGTATATAATTGTAAATCAAATATCTTTGGGTTTTGGACAGAGAAAAGCAAGCAATTAAAAGACATTACCTTGGGCTGTAGGAAACCATGAAAGGCATTTTTCACTGTTTTCTGAAATTTTATAAAGAACTAATCAGCTAATTGGAACAATAACTTAACACAGCCACTGTTAGTCAGACAGGAGCATATATAATTATTAGCAGTGATTATAGTCCTGCAATAACAGGAGCAAGGTTTGAACATCTTCCCTGTTGAAAGGTCACTGAGCAAAATAGTTATACTGGGATCATATATCCTTGTGTATATATGATAATAAGCATGAAATCAAATTCATGACAGCCAGATGTTGGTTAGTTTAATGTTGACAATGATACATCCTTTATTTCTTCTAGTGGGGAAACCCAGTACAACAAAGAAGGCCTCCTACAAGGTATGCAACAGGAGTATGATTCATGATATCTGTACTAAGATACTGAGAAAATCTAATCAATTTCTCTCTCTTTCTTTCTTGACCTTTCTCTGCATCCTACTTTAATCTTCCCATCCTCCTCCGCCCAGGCCAGGCTATAGATTCACCTCTGTCTGAGACTGGGCTACAGCAGGCCGAGGCTGCAGGCCAGTACCTGAAAGATGTCAAGTTCAGCAACGTGTTTGTCAGTGATATGCTGCGGGCCCGACAGGTGACATGTTGTAGTTTTGCAATGGGAGCAAGTGATTTCATGTAATGGAAATACACTACAGAATTTCTTATGTACATTAAATAACGGTCTTCAAATCAAGGACCTCACACCTGAGAAACAGAGAAACTTTATACAACATTCCTTCTTCCTCTTTGTTGTCAGATAATCTCTCAGTACGTCATGAGATGATTGTGTTTTTTTTTTCTTCTAGACTGCTGAAACAATAATGAAACACAACAGCAGTTGTTCTGGTCTACAAATGGCATGTGACCCTTTACTTAAAGAGATAGTGAGTGACACCTCTTCTGTGTGATGTTATAACTTCATAGCTAAATTTTTTCTCACTAAAACGGTATCTTAATTCATTTTAATACAAATAATAAATAAGCTGAGTTATCCAGTTAATGACTTGTGTTTCAGAGCTTCGGAATAGCAGAGGGTGGACGAGTGCAGGATGTGAAGGACATGGCCAAGGCAGCCGGTCAGTCATTTCCGGGCTTCACACCTCCAAAGGGGGAGACTCAGGAGCAGGTGAGGTTGGGGTGGCAGCTCAGAAAGAATGGAGTAACTGCTTGTCTGTCAAAGGATTTATTTTAATATTGGTCCTCCTCTTGGTCTTTTCCCACATGCATTTGTTTGTCTCTCTCTTTTTCCTCCTCCTCTTCTTGTTATTCTGTTGTTAATTGTGACATTTTCACAAAATTGCTTGGATTAAGATCATGCTCTGCACAGGGTACCAACAGCACTGTACTTTAACAAGAATTTATTTGTTTGTTAACCTACTGCCGATTCCAAAATTTCTTTTTCAGTTGTGTGTCCGTGAGCTAGGATCATCTTGGCATTCAAGGCTTTTTGAAAATGACCTATGAGTACTCATGTAATAATGTACTGTAGTAATAATGTACTAACAACTCATGGGTCAGATCACAGCCTCGATCTTCATTTTGATCTAAACTACACACCTGTGAAGTTTCATGACTATCTTGCAGAGTTGTGACACTACCGCAGTCACAAAATCTATCCGCAGACATATAGACACCTGCCAAAGTACTCAAAACAACCTCTGTGGCAGTTCCCACTACACTAAGTGTCTCTAGGACGATATTTTGCCATGACGACACAGACACACACAGACTCACAAGGTGAAAACAATACCGGCTCTGCTGTCGTGGCTGGTAATAATAGTAATGATAAAATTAAATCCTTATGCACACTTACCTCCAGTCATGGACATAGCGTGTGCCCTGATGCAATGTACACATAGTAGGCTACCACTAGGTGGCAGAAAACACTCATGTCCTCAGTCGACCACTTTCTCTGCAAGGATGTAACATGCTATGTCATGGCCTCTTTGCATCCACACGATTGTGTTTCTTATGTATCTGCCAGAACACTTGGTGTGAATCGGGGGGGGGTCAAAGTACATGCCCTTCCGCTGTCAAACAACTGCAGAGTGTTCGTCACTGCCCCTGATTAAAAAGTCACTGCTTAGCTTTCTGTTATTTGTGTTAGAGGTTGTGTGGGAGGACTCTGGGGGGGTAGGGAGGGGGTTCTATTTCAAAGATACTTCGTCAGGCTTCATCTATTGGATCTTGGCTTGGACGTTAACTCTGTTCCAACCCTGTACGTGACCAGCACATGATGATGATGATGCACATATACAAAGATAGATTTGACGTAAGCACAGAGCGCCCCAATCGGTGTCAGCGACAGGCCTCCCTCCCTGCTTTCCTAAACAAGTTACAGGTTGTTGTGTCAGGATGAAACTGGAGTTGGCATGTGTGTTTTTGATGGGAACGGTTCTGACTATGTTGTGTTGTTCTGAATACAACACCCTTTAACTTTTATGCCTCACTGCTGCATGTAATCACATTTCCACAACGTACATTATGCTGTTTGTGTAGAAAGAAAACAATAGAGAAGCAGCGAACAGTGAACAGTTTATAACAGGCTTTTGCTCTGTTCAGGTGAAGGAACGGGTCAAAGAGTTTATGGAGAAAATGCTCCAGCGAATTGGAGACGAACACTGGAATCACAGAGGGGAGGATGAAACCTCCTCATCTGCTCCACCAGAAACATCTCCTGTGGAGGGGAAGCCAGATGATGGGGTCAGGGGTGTCCCAGTCCATGCTTTGGTTGTCACCCACGGAGCGTACATGTGTGTGGTAGTGCGCTACTTTGTGGAGGAGTTGCATTGTTCTTTGCCCCAGGGTTCAGACAAAGCACATATGTTCGCTTTAAGTCCTAACACAGGACTCTGTCGGTTTATACTAACTCTGAGAAAAGAGGACGACAGGTTCAAATTGTCAGGGATCAGCTGTGTGTTCGTCCACAGGGGCGACCATGTTAAACAGTAGGAGCAGAGAGGGCTAGATGACAGGATGGAAGACAGAGGTTTGAAGGAAAAACTACTGAGACTTAATACTGAAAGTTTACAATTCAGATGATTATTTTAAAATGTTGCTTATTTATTTTTTTCATTTGGAGCTTAGTCACCTCACAATACAGTTCATTCAATTAATGGGCAAGTTGTTTATTATTCGTATGTTTTCACAGTGGAATTATCAAGATAAACATAATGCGTTTTCATCATTTTATACAGTGGCCTACAGTGTTGTATATTCAGGATTTTAATGCAATTTCATGGTTTTAGCACCTTGATTTCACCTCAGATAGTTTGTGTTGCAGAACAATGTCATCATCACTTTGTTACTGTCTAGTTGTTCATTACTGTAAAAGTGGGCAGTTTTGTGCTCTAATGAGTCTGAGTTTCTATATATACTCTCCAGGAGATGATAGATTTTATGGAGGAACACAGACCACAACTGCAACAGTGTTGACTTTTTGGAAATCAGTGACTTTTTCATTGTTGTGAATTAACACTTCGCTCAACAAGGACAAACACAAGCCAAGACCTCATGTGTTGTACTTTAGCATGTGTGCACTGTTTCTGCACTGCATTTTGTCACTCCACTCTCACTGTAAAACTAAATTATTTATAGAGGTATTTCATACTGTGAAATCTAGGGATTGTACAGTATGTGACTACTGAAATGGATTGTATGGAAAAAAGTATTTTACAGATTCAGTGGCTTGTTGTCACTGGGTTTTTGTAAATGAAAACACTGTAATGTAAGAATGCTGTCCACTTCTTGAATAAGAAATTGTAGCTGTTGCATGTTTCTGTGTCATAGTGTTAATTTTGGAGACCTGATAGGTGTCCTGATAAAACTCCTTAAATACACACATTCAGTCTACATTGATTCTCATTTGTTTTTCTTTGCATCTTTGATTTTACATTTTCACTGAGTGTTTTCATTTTAGTAAACATGCTTCTTCATTTGCAGCGCAGAACATTATTGTCTACATTCATTTCATATACATTACTTCATTTGGACATTATTTGTCCAGGCCCAATGTTTACCACTTACATAACCAATAGGTTGTGTGCATAATAATCATGTGATTTATGTTGTCTTTCCTTGGAGAACGATTGGATGGTGGTCAACAGATTGTGCAGCAATTTATTAGTTGTTCTTGTACGTTTTGTGCATTTTGTGGCCAGGAACATATTAAATGTTAAAGTAAATCTTCACTGACTCAAATACAAGTAATCACCATAACCTGAGCAGAAATGACTTCAAACTTTAAGGCACTTACTAGTATTTTAGAGGGTTTTTTTTGGACTTCAATGAAACATGAACATCAGAGGAGAGGAAAGGACATTAGCCCCACAGTCATTCCCACTTCCTATTTTTCCATCAGTATGTAATGATTTGCTAGACAGGAAATTACTTTTATTGGTTATCTGGTGATACATAAGTGATTGTGTAAACAAGGACTAAGGAGAGTCTTGCGTGGATCTGTGCCCAGAGGGGCTGCTGTTGATTGGTGGGACTAATGTGTGAAATTTCAATTTGTTTGTGTCATAGGTCATTCCTTCATGCTGTTTCACACTGTCCCTCATGCAGATATCCCAGAGCAGGTTTTTAATGTGTCTGCAAATCTCTTTAGATGCCAGCAAAATACAAATTGATAATCCACAGAATAGTAACCATTTATTTTTCCACATCAGAAATAACACAACATGAAATATATAAATAATAACATAGTAGACAAGGAAGCAAATCATTAAACATGTTTCAATAAATAAATACATTTTCATTGCTGTGACTATTGGTGTCCGGCACCTGACATAATTTGATCTTGTTTATGAATGGCTCCAAAAAAAGTTTTGTTTTCAGTAACAATAGTATGCACTGGTTCATTTTTGTTTTCTCAACAGATGTATGTATAAATATTCATAATTACTTACAGATTACACATTTTTACATATACAAAACAAACATTGCCACATCTGGCCCAAGGTTTAAAATTTAACTGACAAAAGAGGTTCAAGGACTGCAGGACGCTGGACCAAACTTGCCTCATGATTCTGTTCGAATGTTGCCAAACTTATCCTTCATCTGCTATTCAAACAGAGGATCTGCACAAGCCACTGTGATGTAACAAGGTTTATTATGAGCACATTACGTAGTGTAAGTGTTCCATAAAAACTAAATCTGAAAATTTTGATTCAAAGATTTTATGAAATGCTATCTTTTTTCTCAGGAGTTGTAAAATATTTATTGCTTTCACATGACCTCAAACCAACCTCTAATGTCAGCCTGACTCCTTAGTAAGTCATTCTGTCGCTTCCACTGATACCGCAGTCCACAAATGTATGACAAGGTATCTACAGGTACTTACATCAATCATGCAGTCAAACATAAAGTGAGTTTTCAAAACAAAAATAAAGACTTGCACCCCCTCTTGACTTTTCATTTAATAAACCCAAGTTCAGTATCTTAGTCTTGTTATGCCCGGTCTGCAATATTAGTCTTGACAGGACTGACAGGCCCATTTGGCTGTAAGACCCGCAGGGGATCATCACAGGAGGTGATAGTCTCTTTAGACACAGCACCGGCCTGGTCCTGCTCAGGCTGCCCATGAGATGTATCCTTGTGATCTTTGGCAGAATGTGAAGGATGTGAGTGTGATCTTAATGGATCAGAGGGGTTCACCTCATCACTCCTCCTCTGTCTCTTCACCAAGGGACCCAGGAACCTCTCCAGCAGTGCTGCGGAGGGTTCAGGTGGCTCCCAGTAAGCAGCTCGCAGCTCCGCTCCCTCCAGTTTGAGCAGCCGGCCCGCAGTTGTAGAGTAAAGCGTGTCATGGTGGTTTGCCAGATCTAACCAAATGCGCCAGAAGAGGCAGTCTTCTCTGTCCTTTTGCCTCTATTCGTTAGAAAAAAGCAGACAGAATATTTATATCACTGTTTTCCCTGTAGTCATTTCATGACTTCATTCATTTAAAAAGAAAGACTCACAGAGATGTACAGCTCTCCCTTTGAGTCCATACAGAGGAACCGTTTTCTTCTCAAATCAAATATGGACACAAAGTTGCTTTTATCTGTTCTTACTGGCAGAACAACTGCAAGAAAACAAGATTCAAACAAATTAATTTCATATTATGTATAAAGTTTCAACATGAATTGTCCTGGCTGCCAGGGTTGTAATTTGTTTGTGTAGATGACGTGCAAAATATGCTTTGGACACCTAAATTACAACATATATTAGTGATTGTATTCAGAGATATACCATTCAAAATCCTTTTCTAAATTTTTTTCTCCATGGACAAATACATTTTTTGGCCTTTAAGGACATAAATGTAAAGCAGGTTTTGCACTCTGAGAATTAAATGAACTAAACTGGACAAAAAACAATGTTGCATTTAGTGTTTTATAGGCTTTCATTTTCCAAGATTAATGAAATCATTTGCAATTGAACTAATTATGTTTGTATGGATATATGTAGACTTACCTAGAAAGTCTCTGTGAATGCTTCTTTTTATTGATCCACTCAGTTCTAAGTAAAAACGGCCCATACCAGCAGATGTATCTGCATGGGCTCCTGTGTCGAAGCTGCTCTGCTGGTGTTGTGGTTGTTGCTCTGGGTCCTGGAGCCTCGGTCTACAATCCACCAGTACAGAAACATGTATGGCAGTCAGGATGAGTGAGATGAAAGCTGGCTGCATGATCAGTGGGGATGCCGTGCTGTCTTTCCTCTAGCAGCGCAAATGTTCAGGATGGTGTGAGGGCAGCTAATGGAGGAGGAGAAAGTCCAACAGGTCTATTTAAACAGAGGGTCGATAAACCGGCTAACTCATTTACCAAAATGACTCAAAGCCTGCCTGTTTTTCCATGCTTAAGGGTTGCCTAGGTGGAATTCTTGTAGACTCTAACAGGTAAGATACAATTTTATCAGTATGAGGCCATAGTTTTATTGCTCTGAATGGCAGTACCTCCACATAAAATTATATTTTTTTGCCACTGTGTGCTCAGATCCTAAAAAAATATATCAGTAATTAATCAGGTACTGCAACAAGCCAGAGAAAAAGAGAGAGGGTGAAGAGACATTAGGAAATGTGAAAGGATGATGGAGATTCAACTTTCTTGGATTAGACTAATTTGAGGCTCTTAAGACTCTGATCAAGAAAAAGAAGTGGGGTAAGAAGATCAGGCTTCCAAAACTTAGAAAAAAAACATTTGTTTAAATTGGAAAGTAATTCTCAACCCTAATCTAGATAACAGGACAAAATAAGTCATGCACACCTTTACAGTTTAGGTATGAATCACTGGTGGATAATGAAGATTTCAGTCTGTTGTGTCACCATGTCTTGACTGAAATCCAAAGTGAATGACTCATACCTTGCTTGTTAATTAACTGTACACACTTCTGCAGCCTCTCACTTCCTCTCACTAGTGTGGATGCCCAGTGCATTAAACACCATATTATGGTATGGTACTTCATAGTATAGTACGGCATGAAACGACATAATATAGTAAGGCATAAAAATGGCAAAAAACGTCATAGTATGGCATAAAAATGTCAAAAAACGTCATAGTATATTAAGACTCAAAAATGTCAAAAAACTTCATAGTATAGTAAGGCATGAAACGTCATAGTATAGTAAGGCATAAAAATGGCAAAAAAAGTCATAGTATAGTGAGGCATAAAAATGGCAAAAAATGTCATAGTATAGTATGGCATAAAAATGGCAAAAAACGGCATGGTATATTAAGGCTTAAAAATGTCAAAAAACTTCATGGTATAATAAGGCATGAAACGTCATAGTATAGTAGGGCATAAAAATAGCAAAAAACGTCATAGTATATATAGTAAGGCAAAAAAATGTCAAAAAACGTCATAGTATAGTATGGCACAAAAATGTCAAAAAACGTCATAGTATAGTATGGCATAAAAATGGCAAAAAACGGCATAGTATAGTAAGGCATGAAACATCATAGTATAGTAAGGCATAAAAATGGCAAAAAACGTCATACTAAAAATAAGGCATAAAAATGGCAAAAAACGGCATAGTATATCAAGGCTTAAAAATGTCAAAAAACTTCATAGCATAGTAAGGCATGAAACATCATAGTATAATAAGGCATAAAAATGGCAAAAAACGGCATAGTATAGTAAGGCATGAAACATCATAGTATAATAAGGCATAAAAATGGCAAAAAACGGCATAGTATAGTAAGGCATGAAACATCATAGTATAATAAGGCATAAAAATGGCAAAAAACGGCATAGTATAGTAAGGCATGAAACATCATAGTATAATAAGGCATAAAAATGGCAAAAAACGGCATAGTATAGTAAGGCATGAAACATCATAGTATAATAAGGCATAAAAATGGCAAAAAACGGCATAGTATAGTAAGGCATGAAACATCATAGTATAATAAGGCATAAAAATGGCAAAAAACGGCATAGTATAGTAAGGCATGAAACATCATAGTATAATAAGGCATAAAAATGGCAAAAAACGGCATAGTATAGTAAGGCATGAAACATCATAGTATAATAAGGCATAAAAATGGCAAAAAACGGCATAGTATAGTAAGGCATGAAACATCATAGTATAATAAGGCATAAAAATGGCAAAAAACGGCATAGTATAGTAAGGCATGAAACATCATAGTATAATAAGGCATAAAAATGGCAAAAAACGGCATAGTATAGTAAGGCATGAAACATCATAGTATAATAAGGCATAAAAATGGCAAAAAACGGCATAGTATAGTAAGGCATGAAACATCATAGTATAATAAGGCATAAAAATGGCAAAAAACGGCATAGTATAGTAAGGCATGAAACATCATAGTATAATAAGGCATAAAAATGGCAAAAAACGGCATAGTATAGTAAGGCATGAAACATCATAGTATAATAAGGCATAAAAATGGCAAAAAACGGCATAGTATAGTAAGGCATGAAACATCATAGTATAATAAGGCATAAAAATGGCAAAAAACGGCATAGTATAGTAAGGCATGAAACATCATAGTATAATAAGGCATAAAAATGGCAAAAAACGGCATAGTATAGTAAGGCATGAAACATCATAGTATAATAAGGCATAAAAATGGCAAAAAACGGCATAGTATAGTAAGGCATGAAACATCATAGTATAATAAGGCATAAAAATGGCAAAAAACGGCATAGTATAGTAAGGCATGAAACATCATAGTATAATAAGGCATAAAAATGGCAAAAAACGGCATAGTATAGTAAGGCATGAAACATCATAGTATAATAAGGCATAAAAATGGCAAAAAACGGCATAGTATAGTAAGGCATGAAACATCATAGTATAATAAGGCATAAAAATGGCAAAAAACGGCATAGTATAGTAAGGCATGAAACATCATAGTATAATAAGGCATAAAAATGGCAAAAAACGGCATAGTATAGTAAGGCATGAAACATCATAGTATAATAAGGCATAAAAATGGCAAAAAACGGCATAGTATAGTAAGGCATGAAACATCATAGTATAATAAGGCATAAAAATGGCAAAAAACGGCATAGTATAGTAAGGCATGAAACATCATAGTATAATAAGGCATAAAAATGGCAAAAAACGGCATAGTATAGTAAGGCATGAAACATCATAGTATAATAAGGCATAAAAATGGCAAAAAACGTCATAGTATATTAAGGCTTAAAAATATAAAGAAACTTCATAATATAGTAAGGAATGAAATATCATAGTATAGTAAGGCATAAAAATGGCAAAAAACATCATAGTATAGTATGGCATAAAAATGTCAAGAAAAGTCATAGTATGTTAAGACTTTAAAATGTCAAAAAACTTCATAGTATAGTAAGGCATGAAACGTCATAGTGTAGTAAGGCTTAAAAATGGCAAAAAACGTCATTATAGTAAGGCATAAAAATGGCAAAAATCATCATAGTATAGTAAGGCATAAAAATGTCAAAAAACGTCATGCTATACAAAGGCATGACACGTCATAGTATAATAAGAAATAAAAATGTCAAAAAACGTCATGGTATAGTAAGGCATAAAAATGTCAAAAAACGTCATAGTATAGTAAGGCATAAAAATGGCAAAAAACGTCATAGTATATTAAGGCTTAAAAATACCAAGAAACTTCATAATATAGTAAGGCACTAAATATCATAGTATAGTAAGGCATAAAAATGGCAAAAAACATCATAGTATAGTATGGCATAAAAATGTCAAAAAACGGCATAGTATATTAAGGCTTTGAAATGTCAAAAAACTTCATAGTATAGTAAGGCATGAGACGTCATAGTGTAGTAATGCATAAAAATGGCAAAAAACATCATAGTATGGTATGGCATAAAAATGTCACAAAACGTCATAGTATAGTATGGCATAAAAATGTCAAAAAAACGGCATAGTATATTAAGGCTTAAAAATGTCAAAGAACTTCATCGTATAGTAAGGCATGAAACATCATAGTATAGTAAGGCATAAAAATGGCAAAAAACGTCATAGTATAGTATGGCATAAAAATGGCAAAAAACGTCATAGTATAGTATGGCATAAAAATGGCAAAAAACGTCATAGTATAGTATGGCATAAAAATGGCAAAAAACGTCATAGTATAGTATGGCATAAAAATGGCAAAAAACGTCATAGTATAGTATGGCATAAAAATGGCAAAAAACGTCATAGTATAGTATGGCATAAAAATGGCAAAAAACGTCATAGTATAGTATGGCATAAAAATGGCAAAAAACGTCATAGTATAGTATGGCATAAAAATGGCAAAAAACGTCATAGTATAGTATGGCATAAAAATGGCAAAAAACGTCATAGTATAGTATGGCATAAAAATGGCAAAAAACGTCATAGTATAGTATGGCATAAAAATGGCAAAAAACGTCATAGTATAGTATGGCATAAAAATGGCAAAAAACGTCATAGTATAGTATGGCATAAAAATGGCAAAAAACGTCATAGTATAGTATGGCATAAAAATGGCAAAAAACGTCATAGTATAGTATGGCATAAAAATGGCAAAAAACGTCATAGTATAGTATGGCATAAAAATGGCAAAAAACGTCATAGTATAGTATGGCATAAAAATGGCAAAAAACGTCATAGTATAGTATGGCATAAAAATGGCAAAAAACGTCATAGTATAGTATGGCATAAAAATGGCAAAAAACGTCATAGTATAGTATGGCATAAAAATGGCAAAAAACGTCATAGTATAGTATGGCATAAAAATGGCAAAAAACGTCATAGTATAGTATGGCATAAAAATGGCAAAAAACGTCATAGTATAGTATGGCATAAAAATGGCAAAAAACGTCATAGTATAGTATGGCATAAAAATGGCAAAAAACGTCATAGTATAGTATGGCATAAAAATGGCAAAAAACGTCATAGTATAGTATGGCATAAAAATGGCAAAAAACGTCATAGTATAGTATGGCATAAAAATGGCAAAAAACGTCATAGTATAGTATGGCATAAAAATGGCAAAAAACGTCATAGTATAGTATGGCATAAAAATGGCAAAAAACGTCATAGTATAGTATGGCATAAAAATGGCAAAAAACGTCATAGTATAGTATGGCATAAAAATGGCAAAAAACGTCATAGTATAGTATGGCATAAAAATGGCAAAAAACGTCATAGTATAGTATGGCATAAAAATGGCAAAAAACGTCATAGTATAGTATGGCATAAAAATGGCAAAAAACGTCATAGTATAGTATGGCATAAAAATGGCAAAAAACGT